CACCCGAATTAGGCACAACTTAATCAAGTAGGTTGAATTTACTTCGATGGAACTGTCTTAGGTAAATACGTGGTTTCACGGCATTGCATTGAAGATTTCTTTCTTATTTTTCAATTTTGGGAATCGCGGTGCTCGATCAAAGAGTACTGAAACAGATGTGTACAGACTAATCATCGTGAGACAGAAGGGGATAAAACTCCACCACATAACGTTGAGATCAAAATCAGTTTTATCATAGCACAGACCAATAAGCTCAATCTTATTTCTCAAATAAGGTATTTTTAATGTCAAAAGGTTTCGTGATCAAAAGTGATAAGTATCCTGTGCAGTTTGTGATATAAGAATATGAGAGAGTGCAACCTTATTTCAATATTATCCAGAATATGCCCATTATTATATGAGAACACAAGTTCAGAGGTGAATAATTGTTATCATTGATTCATTTTACGATCCTTTAATTCGTACAGGCTAGTTGATGAATCAATGAAAACAGTTGTTCACCACTGAACGTGTGTTCTTATTTCAATATTTGGTAAAGTTTAAAGGTTTGTAATGTGGAGCATGCGTGTACTTCACAAATTCTCCGATTCAAAGGTTAAAAGTTTGGTGCACAAATGACAACGGATGGGAGAATTTTTCAGGTAGTACAGAATTGGATATCGGAAGAGCGACGTCAGAAAACCTGTGGGCATTTTGCGACCACCTTATGAAACGGATCTCTCATGTAAAGCGCGTTTAGTGGATATTTTCATCAGTGGACAAGGTGAATGGATTGGGTTCCGTAGTATTTGATAGACATTATAAAGTCTCCAATCCGAATGAATTTGGTAGAATACAATAACCAAGACTTTAATACTGCCATATGCATATAATTTAAAAAAAATCGCTTTCTTTACTCTGTGAACGTTCCATGATGGTGTAATCACGGAAAACATGAAGGAGGGACTTGAAGGGAGCAACGAATGGAGGATCTAATTGGACAAAAATGATGTTGTTGTATATGACACAGGATCCTTACACCAATAAAATTGATTTTCGATAACATGTTTGGCGTATCGAATTCCAATGAGCACTATTAAATGCTCGACAACGATTAAGGAACTACTCAAACTACTCAAACTCTGCTACTTGTATAATCTAATGAAGCATGCGAGGAGAGTAAAGCGAGAGTTGAAGAGTTCTATTGAAACATAATGAAATTAATGACTCCATGTGATAGGATTACAAAAAAAAACAGAGATAAACCAGGTGCATATATATATATATATGCAATTTCTCTGGGTTGTGATAGAACTTCATTTGGTTATCCGATAGAGTTGCCATAGTGGATTATACATTAGATAAAATAATGCCTCATTACAAATAAGGGAAATGGCAAGGGTTAATGGAAATAATTTGGGATAATTCTTGAGTCATTCTTATTAAAAAGTATTGCGTTGTCATACTTGATACATTTCGCGATTCTCATGTTCAGATCATTTATTCTTGGCACTCAAGGTCAGGCACGTTTAATTAACAATCATGCAGCCCAGAAACTACGTACATCGAAGTAGACAAGATATGAAATATTGTCCATACCTAAAGCATTAATATGGGTGATAAATATAATGAAACTCTCTTTGATCATAAGGAAAATATTTTAGTGCATCACAATCGGTCAGTACTGTATACATATATATGTATATATATATATATATATATCTGCATCCTATAGAATGCAAATATTTCTCACTTGAGGAAGCAAAACATCTTATTTTACGTTGTAACTTGTGAGTAGTAACTTCTACCAATTCTCAATATTGGTATCAGAACAACAATGAGTTTGGCACTGATCACATCACATGAGCATTTTGTTTTCGGTAGAATTTTGAAAGATAATCAGCGAGAATTGATGCGATAGAAAATTTGCGACAAAAATGTAACACTTGGCTGCGGTGTAGTTGTGCACGTGAACTAATGTGGGACAAGGTAAGGAACGAAAAGTTGGGTTAACTTTTCCAGGGCAGTGATCCGAAAGAAAAGTAATACAAGGACAATGTATTATTCCCAAGATTCAAGACTTGTCAATTAAAGAGCGATACATAATACGTTTCGTCAAACTTTTAATTTTCTCCCAAAAGCGCTGTCAATACTGAGGGCAGAGGGATATACTGGACAAAGTCTATGACTGATTTAGATGTCTATTGCTTGCATTATGCCATTCGGTTTTTCACAGGTACCAGGCACTGTTGATGGTAGTAGTAAGTGACATCGGTGGTACTGGAATTCACTTACGGACACCGTTTACGTTTATCACAGCGCAAACGTCATCAGTATTGCTGCAATCGGTCTGATATCCGGGATCTACCTGATTTCTCGCTCACATTCTGAATTCAGGTGTAGTTGAAAAATGCTGCTCATATAGAACTCCTCATCTGATCGTCTCAAATAACATGCTTTTAGAAAGCAAAACTAGTATCGTTGGGTGAAATGCAGGAAAAAAAGAATGGTAATGCGCTTCTTGATCAAAATACACCTTCGCTGAATTTACCAGATAATGTGAACACAGACTGAATAGCTACACGGGTTCGATTAATGAAAGACCGAGTTCTGGTTCAGCTTCTGAGGTCACATGGAGCACATTTCCCACCTATTCAACGTGGTTGATGGTCATCTGTATATTTGAATAAGTAGCTATGTCTACCAGCTGATCGTTCTGACTGCATATAATTGCTGGAAATCCCGTTCCGGTTTGACATATACCGAGGGCCCAGCCTTCGTTTTGCTGAACAGCGTCCGAGCTCGAAAGAACATCGGACACGTATGTCCGATCTTCCTAACAGATCGAGGGAAAACTGCTCATGCAGCAATAACCGTAAATCATGAAATTTGAAATTTACGTCCACTACCTCAAACGGTAGTTTATTTACGCTTGGTGACCTCTGTATCTCGAAGGAGAAACTCACCTGATTACCCGAAACTGTATAATTGTTGTATTGATCTATAAAACATTGAGCATTCTTTGTGTAACCGTTACGCGTTTCGTTGCTCCACCATTGAACGCGATTGCCCATGGGATCTCTTTTGGACCCTGTGCCAAAAAAAATTAAATGTTTCATGAAATTTCATTAAACATGTCCACAAGAAAATAGAATTACTGTGTTAAGTTCCCTGTGAATGAACTTCGCTTGTAGAATGAGGAGGAGAAAGTTATCTCATTTCTACAGATACATTCTCCCAATAATTTCACATCATTGTTCGGCCTGCATATACTTTGAATTTAGGCCTAAGTAAACTTATTACAGCTCTGTATTGCAAGGTTTTGCGGTTCAGGCCCATAGATAAGCCAGATCACATGAAATGTTGAGAGAGAAAGCATGTATTTACTCCGCATTCTCAGCATCTAGGAACACTACTTTCAAAAAAATATGGGATTTACCTTTAAAGAAATTTAGCCAAGTACATGAAATTATCGGAAATGTCCTAAAATATTGGTTGTCCACGAAGTGATACCAGCAGATTATCTCTTGATTTTCTGGCCGAACAATGTGTCTCGTCTAAGGTCTTTTATTTCAGAAGACAGCTATTTAGGGGAAAGTGCAAATTCTACAATAGTTATAGGCGGTCATGATTCGGTGGTAAAGGCCACTAAATTATCACCCCGGAGGATGTGTGTTGGGATTCCGTCCCCACCACCTGACTCTCCCCATTATATGAGATACGATACCTATTTGATTAGCCACTTTCCACCTCCCGAAAAATTTTTCGTTTTCATATTCAATAAAATAAATTAAACGCAAGAAAATGACACACTTTGGATGGGATAAATATCTGAGACATACATTGCACCTCTGTGCACATTTTAGCTGGTGCTCATTGTCGGAATTGGGGACGGTTTTCTGTCTTTCGCGAGTTTCTTACTGATAGGCATGGAATCACGACATTTCTGTTAGTTCCCTGGATCAACGGTCGGTTTTTGACTGACCAGATAATAATTTTAAAAGATAGGCAAACAGTGATTAGAACTTTCTCAGCATAAGCTAATTAAAATATGAGGTCCTACCAAACCAGTGAAGACACAACACGTCTACCTCAAACTGTGCCGGCGCTATCAACTTTTTCCCGATAGAGGCGAATTAGAAGTCTTATGGCATTCAAACTGGGCTACAACTGGATTCAGAGAAGGAGGCGTTGATACAGTCGGTGTACTGTGCGCCACGGTGCACCGTTTGATAGTTGTAATGCTTGTACTGCTCGGAATTCGGTATCGTCTCTTAACCGAGATGGTTAAGTTCACATGTGTGGATCTGCTGTGCAAATTTCCTTATATATTCCCGTTTAAATCAAACGCATAAATTTCAGGTTATTGGAAAAACGGACAAACATTAATTCGGTTATATAGAAGGAAAAAAGAATGATTGAATGCTGCATTTTGCTCAAATTAATGTTCAATCCTTATTTTATTTAACCCACCGTAAAAGTGGAAACCATCAGATTGGAGTTTGGTTCCCATGAAAGTTCATCAATTATTCATAATCATTAGTAAATTCCTATCAAGTATACTCAATTATTTCACAATTGAACTTACCGGTAGTGCTGAGCTTAATTTGTGCACGATTCAGTTTCTATGAGAACGATTTAAAAGTTTCAGTATTCCCATGATTATATCCGGAGAAGATATCGAATGGAGGAGAGTTGACTTCAATGAGTTCTGATGATGCCATTTAAAGTCATATGGTGCGCAGTATACCTAAACTCAGTTGATCATTGACTGAATTTAAAAGCTGGACAATATCGTCGTAGCTGTTCTGTAAACTGTATTTCAATTTATTGCCTCTCACCAAATCAGTTTTCCCCGGGAATATTTGGATGGTTTGCTAATCACAACGGGTAATTTACTTTGTAACTCCCAATCAATCTTTTACTAACGTGTTGCTAAAATTTAAAACGCAGATGAGGAAATATGTTTAACAACGATACCGCCTTAGAAACAATTGTCCTCAGGATCAAGTGCATTTTTTCTATTGCTTTCGTGTACCTTTGGATACAGAACTTCCATAACATATGTTATCCAGGGCAAAATTATTTTCACAACGCATTGCTGACAACCGGCATTCATTCCAAGAAGCACTGATAGCCCCATATAGTGGCGCTGGAGTAAATATGTTCACTAAATACCGGAATATCAAAGACATGTCAGGAAAGGGGCCAAGATAGCAGTTAAACGCCTCGTTCTCACTTCTCGTTTGCAAATCATGCGAGTTAAGTTGGAAATCGAAAGGCGCGGATGGATGATTACGCAACAAGTGAACCCGCAAAGATAAACCCACAAGGATAATTTCCATTGTTTGTTATGTGTTAAAAATTAGATAGTTTAATCTCAAACATTAGATTGTATGCAATAGACAAAATTTTTCTGCAGTACTATAAATTTTCATTAGCGTCAAATCTGTTGCAAGTATCACATTTACCTTGATAATCGAATGCGTGCATGATCTCATGACCGATGACAAAACCTAATCCTCCGAAATTTATCGCTTTTGGGTATGAAGTATTGTGGAAGGGAATCTGGATCAAGGCGGCTGAAACGTGAATTTCGTTCTCGTTTTTCTTGTACACCGCATTCACGTCCATGGGTGAAGTCTTCCAGCTGAGTGGAGAGAGAAAAGAACGGAGAACGGGGGAACTAAACGAATTATTTCCACTTGTGTTTTTTCTCAATTTAAAGTACGGAGTTGAAAATGGACTATGCCAAAAAATGATATTTCTGTGTATTAGGTGTTCTTGTTTTCGAATTAAGTTTCGGATTATCTGAATTTCCCACATTTTCTCACACATGAAGGAAAAATTTGTTTAATTTGTGGATGGCAGGAAATTCCTTTCCAAACGCGTACACCGACTGTACAAAAAAGATTTGGTGATTTGGCTTCGTATCCATGCAACTAGTACATTAATATCTGTTTGCTACGAGGCTGACTTTATCGTCATGTCATCTGATTTTAGACCTCATATAAGACATATCTCGTGGACGTCTTCGTAGGTCTGTGCATAGAAAACACATGTCAACGGGTCAGTATTTACACTTCACTAGTTTCAACCCGTCGGTGCAGATGCTTGATGACCGTGCGAGAAAAATATGTACGCCTAATAACCTAGTAGATCAAATAGTAAGACTTTCCAACATAACGGCCAGTGAAGTTGTTCCACAACTACCACTCAGTGGTGATGTGAATAATTTGTTAGAGCATTGCCCAAGCTCGTCCATCAAACGAACATTAAACACAGTTTTTGTCTACACATGCGAAAGTCAAACGATCACTTTCGCAGTATGCCAAATCCCATCAATTGTACTTATTTGCTTTTGGTTGCTCAGTCACCTACTTAGGCAGCAGCTTTGGCAGAGACTAGTCGAACGTAAGCACTTGATTTAATAAACTGACCAAAGAATCACACTTGAACGATTAAGGTCTCCCCAAAGCCGTACCCCAGCACCATCGACCGCTCGTCACGTGTTAGAGATTGGATGTGACCACAGCGTTCAGAAGTATTTTCTTGTCGTAAAACTGTCGGTTGCTCCGGTTAGCAGAGGCGATTTCCCTAAAACGCTGGAAACCTGAACTGTTCATGTGGAAGGAGTTATCCGTAACTATAACCCTACCTTGGTAGAAGGATGAACAACAGCTCATCCATGGTGACTGTAACTTGTTAGTCTTCGTTAGATTTTTCAACTGTTACATGTACCTAAAGAGACTGTGATTTTTTTAGGAAATAAATTGTGCAGTGCTGTGCTGGCATTATTTATTCGGTTTCTGAATAGACCGATAGACGTGTTCTAAGAAAAAACTTTTACCGAAGCAAACCTCGAGTCGAGTGCGTTTAGGCTCACTGGATAACTGTCTTTAAACTTAAAGTGTAAACAATCATCCCTCCCAATTACTGAAGATTAAACAGTTTGAAACCGTTTCGATGTTCCCCGCATGTTTGTGGTAATCTGTCAATTGCCGTTTCCTGAGTAAAATCATGAAGTTACAACTGGTTCGTTTCACAGCACAGGATTATCAATAGATCAAGGAAACGAATTGACTTACTGATGCCTGTCTTTAGTGATCAACTGATTCAGCGAATTCAACGTCAGTGACTTCAGACAGTACAATTGGTTTTCAAAATAATTCTCCACCTTCAGATTAGGCTGTGAGAGAAATAACAATACTTTCATCTGTATTGGCAATAAGGTGACCGTTGTATAACCAATAAAATATGATAAATCTTACACGTCTTTATAAAGTTCGATCAATAAATCATCATTTTGTTATATGCTATTTGGTTCTAAGGATTTTTCCTGTTGGTGAGACCTAACCGGGTCGAGATAGCTGTACATTGCTTCCTAGGATTTTAGCTCATATCTCATTTACACGACGAATTCATCATCTAACCATTATTATTGTCTTTTAAAAAGTTCGCATGACGGATTGGATCCATCAAGAGACAAGAAGTCAAATTTACTGTCAACCTACTATTTAACAGTAGATCGTGCAATGAACTGCACAACGCAACTTCAGCCAAACTGGTGACAGTCTCGATTGCTTTATTCGTAATTAGCGGTGCACGTACTGCGTAGGAAATATTTTGATCAATATTTAGGAGATTACATTATTTAAATGGTGACCTTTTTGATTGGTCCATTTGATTTTTCACAGCCATTGAGACTTGTTGGTGTGATTTTCACTCATTGAGTGATTGTTAACTTCACTTTAGTTGAATGAAACTAGGTACGACAGAGATTTCTGTGTTGATCGACAAAGGGCATTGATAGGGAATTCCAGATACCCCAAGGAGTGCTACCCACACTCAAAATTATCCAATGCCTGCGAAAAACCAAATGAGCTAATCCAAAAATTCACCCTCTTTATTGATCTAGCTATTCGCTTGAGAGGCTAAAAGTCAACCATTTCACTCCGGAATAAGTTGCCGGTTCCTAACGCAAAGGTTTGCAGTTCGAGTTCTGATAGGAAAGTAAATTTCGCACTTCTTATGAGTCCCAAACAGAACGAAACATCTATCTAGGGCTCTTCGTCGGTTGTCATATTGCAATCAGACAACATTGTTGATTAGATGAAGTCAATTTATTGGTTTAACTCGTTTTTCGTTACAACTTAAATACTGTTCAATAAATAATTTTATATTGATCTACATAAATTTGTTCTATCATATGATTGATCAAAACTTTCCTGTTGCAAATGATACAGATTTTTTAAATACTTATTATTGATTGAAAATTATTGATCGTCCAAGGCGCAATAGACTGTGGGTCACGTCAGATGTGGACCAGTGACAAGGTCAGTTGTTGTTGATATGAAAGTTCAACTCATGTGGATATCAATACGATTGTCTACTGTGTCTTTTAGTCAGAAGTCGAAATGGCTGAGCAAACTGCCATCAAAGATATGATAAGATATGATAAGATACACACGTATGTGTTAACTGTAACTTGGACAGTTGGTTTTATAAAGGCATAGCTATATTTTTAGTTCTCAACCCTATGGTAACCGGTGTGTAGCTGTGTAACAGTCACACCCGGTCAGTAATAACAAACTGTATTCACCGTGGTCAGTCCAGTGATCCTGGAACATATCGGCTGTGGTCAATAAATAGACGTGCACGATCGTGCCCAAATCGAGTAGAGCGCGTATATGTGAACGCTTATGCACGAGATAAGGGTTTAAGCTACTTGACAGGTTATAGAAACCACAGTTAATTTTGAGGTCTTGCTGCGGTCTGTAGTGTTAAATGGTAAATTAGAATTGTGGCATTTTCTGAATATGATTCTTTTGTGGTCCTCAGTGTACCACTGCAACTGCAGATTTGTGAGATCAGTAGTGTTAGATTCGGTCTGTTATCAGGTAAGTAGGTGGAAAGCGTTCGTGTAGGGATCTATCCTAAGACTATCATTCATCAACGTCCTAAACAAAGAATTAGAAAACGTGCTGATTCTACCTATGGAGTGAGCCTCCTTGATGCATTGAGATAGAAGTTCCGCCAAGTCAACCCCTACAGGATACCAAAACTTTGGGCGAATCCTTTCTAAAACGTGCCCATGCATCCACATTGAGGTGGAATACATGATTCTGGGGAGGTGTAGCGCAACCTTACTCAAATTGATATAGCTGCGCGACAAATACATAAGTTCTTTGTTTTTCTTGAAGTACGCAGTCAGAGCAAAAATAGATCAATTTTAATTGCAACTAAAGACAGCCACTAAAAGCACACAAACATGATGGGTTTGAAGGTTCTCAAAGGGAACTGATCAGATTACCCACTAATTGACAGTAATTGACAGATGAATTTTAATTCATCAACTGCATCAACTGCTACGCGGATAAACGCAGTTCCGAAGGTGAGGCTTGTAAGCGACTTATAATATCAGTAAGACTGCAACGCCTGTTATAGATTTTTTGCTGAATATTTTATGTTCCTTATTCAGAATATCCGTTTTGTAAATAGCCCTTCTTTTCAACAAGGAATACTACGTCCAGACAAGCCAACTCGCTTTCCGATGTATTTTCGCAGTAAAATCCTCACAATTTATCAATGCTGTCCGGTTCCGTGACAGCGCATTTTAGCAAATATGTGCATATTTCATTCGAAAAAAACAAGCGCATCACACAAATCCAGATTGACGAACCATAATAAAACTGGAAACTCTTAATTCACAGCTCAGTAACCTATCTGGTTATCACCAGTCGATGTGTTAACTTCGGAAGTCAATGATTGAGAGTAATCTGAAAGCACCAATAAATCCATATGTAGATAGTTCAATGTTCTAAGTTTTCATTGTTCGCTCGTTGAGCATGGTCTATGCTGAATCCAAACTAAGCCAAAGGTTGTTGACAATTCGGTAGCTCCCACCTCTTTCATTTTTTCTCATTGATTACACTGTTTCCGAACAGTGAAGTAAAAATTATTATAACCAAACGAATTTATTTGGCATAAACGTGAAGGGAAATATTCGAATTTTTGGAGTACCGTCCGGGGTTTCGCGATTATATACGTTACAAATTCAAAAAGGAGATCAAACAATCCAACGAGGGAATTAACTGGACAGAAGAGGGAGTCTTCCAAACGGCTTCCCGAGAGCCGGTGACACATTAGACCTTTGTATTTTGTATTCGCATAGCTAATGTAAGCTTACGCGTTAACATTTCAGCTGGATGAGTAAACCGGTCGTCACACGAAATTAAAGATACAAGTTAAAAAAACGCAATGGTAAAGCTTCCATCAAAGCTTGGTACATTTAGCATAACTAACGGTCGCATTACTTCTGACTGTTGATGGTATCAGTTTACCCGAGTGTGAAGATTTTTCATCCCGTTTAAAGGAAGCCTCGTGTGTCCCTATCCTAGATCTAATTAAGGGGTGATTTCAACCGACACACTACTACAATCAGTGCTTATTTGCTGAAGTAACTTAATCAGAGTCACCAATGGATGGTCAAACGAAGGCACTAAGTGCACAAACAGCCGAAGTTGTTAGACAACGCTCGGTTTCATCATTTTTGAATGGTTAGTGAGGTGGATTCAAATATTTCGATCGTTTATTCTTGTAGCCGAAGCCAAGAACGATCCTACTGCTATCTTAATCCACAGTTCACAATACGATGCAGTGTGTGTTGGAGTTGATCTCTTTTCACCTTTCTTTCCCTTTTGTCATGGATATGACTCTGGAAACCACTCAATCCTGAAGCATGGTTAGAGTTATGGGCATACTTCCAGGAGGAAAGTTATCAGTTCTGGTCTGTTCAGGTGACAACATACTGCTCACTGAAGTTCCGAGTTGGTTGCAATCACTCCTTTATCTGCATCATGGATACAAAAGGAACGGTTGGAGCTTGCCACATTGAGAAATCCCCGGCACCACCACTGATTGTCCTAAAGGTCTAGTCAACTCCACAATATTTCGACTGGTTCCGCTCCATGGTCCCCAGAATTGATCAAACACAACAAAAGTAAACTGTTGGTGCTCGAACACAACTTTTATTGCTGCATTGCACAATTCTAGTGAAGAAATTAAACCCATAATGATGACTGTAGACGAAGATTTTTCGGAAATCATAGTTTATTGTGTGACCACAGCCGGTAGATTACTTTGGTTTGTGCACGTGTCACGCAAGTCATCCAAAAGGTTCCCTCAACGATCAATGTTTTCCGACGTACACGTTGGATGGAAAAAGGTAAAAGTGATCAAAAAGAAAACCTTGCCTAAGAAAACATAAGCCCTGGTCAGGAGGACGTTTCACTTTTAAATTGCTGTTGAAAGAACCCGGGGATATATTTAATCAATAGTGAGAGATTCTGAGTAATGTCAATTTCTGCCTTACTCTGCATGGAATCTGTGTTTTCACCTCACTACTACGCTCGGTATCCTAAGTCTTCTATGTGCTGTCATCCACATCCTCATCTAATGATGGTAAAAAAAGACGCCGCACGAAAGTGCAAGGGTAGTTTCGTATGAAAGTATGCGGTGAATAGTGAACCAATGGAGAAGGAAAAACCGTACCCCATAAAATTCAATCCGGAAGCTACATCTCAGTTTGTAAAGATCAAAAAGTCATCTCTCGGGGGCAACGATTTTAACACACTAGGCTTTCAGGCATTCTGCGGACATTGCGCAATTAGGCACTGTTGTCGTCAGATTGTTCGTTAGTAATGATCTCATTGATGCGAAGTAATAAAAA